TATTTATAATTTAATTAATAAATAATAAATAAATAAAATAAAATAAAAGTTATAAAAATTAGCTTAAGTTAATTTTTAAGCAAGGGTTTATTTTAAATCCTCTTTAAAATCCACAATTTTTTTACTATTTTTAAACATTATTTTAAAACTTATTTATTATTATTTTATAATTATAAATAACCTTTAATTATAAATAGTTTATAAGTTAATTAGTTAGTTAAATTTTAAAGTTTATATTAAAAGCATTTATTTTAAAAATAAGTGCTATTTTAATAGCTGTTTAAGGGCTATATTTATTATGTCGGTGGGGAATCTACATACCTAGCTATAACTAGCTAGAGCCGGCCATAAGACCCTCGGCTTGAAGGCTACTGTACTTTTGTGTAGCCTATTAACTCGCCTCCGTACCTCACCGTCCTGTACCCGACTTGATGAAATGCGGTTGAAGAAGTGACGACGTTTCATTAGCCCTTCAATGAACATTTTCTAAGCCAACACACGAGCGTCATATCACCTACTGGTATTCTCTTCCTGCAGTGGCTCGAGAGACTACAATGGCGGACGTGGTCAAGGTCTCGTACTCGGGGCGCATAGCCACCATCACTATCGACAACGACAAGAAGCTTAATGCCCTGGATATGGATGGGTACTATGCCATCTCTCAGGCCCTCCGGGAGATTGCCCTGCGCGACGACATTTACATCACCATCTTGACCGGAAAGGGCCGGTATTTCTCTGCGTAAGTTTTGCTCGTCGTTCTTCCAACATAGGTAGCTATAGCACCCGGAGGAGGGAAATTGAGATGAGATTACATTGGGAAACCCTTGAGGACGAGATTTTATGAACTGAGGAGGGCATTTCACACGAAAAAGTGGTGTTTCTCCGATCACCTGAGTTCCTAGCTCATATCTCTAACTACCTTGATTTCGCTGAATTTATCGTTCACTGCACCCTTACTATTTACTCACTCACTCGCTCACTCGCCACCTCCGAATACCATAAGAGACGCATAAATAAAAAAACCCCCATTAAAAAAACAGTCAAAAAACTAATAATAAACCCCCCAGCGGCGCCGACGTCTCCGTAGGCCGGGACCTCCCGGCCGACGCAGACCCCTACAGAGAGTGGCTCCGGAGCTTCGTAGCCAACAACCTAAACGTGACGCAAGCCTTCTACAGCCACCCCAAGATCCTAATCGCGGCACTCAACGGGCCCGCGATCGGCCTGTCCGCCGCACTGACAGCTTTCGCCGACTTCGTCTACGCGGCGCCGCACACCTTCCTACTAACGCCCTTCTCGTCTATCGGGCTCGTGACCGAGGGCGGCGCCTCGCACGCCCTCGTGCAGCGTCTCGGGATAAGCAAGGCCAACGAGGCATTAATCATGAGCAAGCGGATCTCCATCGACGAACTCGTCGCCACGGGGTATGTAAACAAGGTCTTCGCGTGCGAGAAGGGTGACGACGCGACGTTTATGAGGCAGGTTCTGCACGAGGTCGACGAGCGGCTGGGAGAGCACCTCATTGGTGATTCGTTGACGGGCATCAAGGCACTCATCCGGAAACCGGAGCGTGAGCTCCTCGACAAGCAGAATGTGGCCGAGGTCTTTGCGGGTTTGGACAGGTTCGTCAAGGGCATTCCGCAACAGGAGTTTCAGAAGATTGCTTCGGGCAAGAAGAGACATAAGCTATGAGGGTGGCACGATTTTTAGATCGGGGATCTGTAACGACGTTGGGCGAAGCAGCGAGCGGGAAATTATTATTTTGTGCATAAAGGACCTTCGTCCATGATGGATACGATCTAATATTGTTCAACCCATCTTGTACTTGGCTATGAACATGCAAATACAACATTGTAAAATGAATTTATCTAACGGGTATCATCATGCTAGCAAACCGAACAACAGGCTCGTTCTCTTCCAGTACTCCTGCGATGCTCTTACAATGCGTCGCTCTGCTTCATCGCCTAGATCTGTCCTTGTTGATACTTCCGACGCAAGATCCTTCATCGCCTTATCTGAGTCATCATCACCTATGGCGAGATAGTGCTGCAATAAACCAATGTCGAATAACCACTGAATAAAGACGTCTTTGCTGCGCTCAGATGTCTGCGCCGACTTTCCGTTAGTGTTTTTCGTGACATCTTCATCATCTACTAACGTCTCGCTCTTTTCGTCTTCATTCGTCTTGGCCGCAGATCCTATCTCATCTATGTCTGGAACACCTGTTGTGAGTTCTTTGCGCCAAACATCTGCAAGATGTTGACCGAAGACGCGCCTTAGAGTCTTCACAGCAGCTGGGGTCCAGAGATCCACCCCAGCATCGCCCATTGACATAGTGATGTTCCGTAGAAGTTTAAAAGTGTTGGGGGAGGGCTGAGTGGGCAAGGCTGGCTCGCCCTCCCACAAGGCTCTGCCAGCTACCCGTTTCTGCGTCAGGGCTGTCGCGGCAAACTCTTCACATGGTGTTGAAGAAACATGCGCCGCGAGCTTTTCGTGCAGTGAAGGAACGTTGTCCAGGCCGAAAGACTGCACCCCCTCAAGCTTGGGTAGATGGCTCCGGATATCTCTCAAGATTCGCAGGATATACATGGCGATCTGCCCGTTGTTTGTTCCGTCCCTTCGGTTTTCCCACACCGCTGCAAGCTGTTCGTTCAGATCCTTGAACGCTTTCGTTAGCGTCTCATTAAGTCGTGTATGTAGTAGTTGTGGGTCGTCTTTGCTTAAGAGATTCTGCCTCGTCTCAATAACCTCCTCGTCCTCAATTTCGTCTACATCATTATCCCATCTCTGCCGTCTGAGCTGATCTACGAGGTCGCCGACATTGTCGATGATGTGATGCCACGATTCAAAACTGGTGACGGCCCGTGCAACAGCATCGTTCCTTCCATAAACACGAGATACAACTTCGTGCGTGACTTGAGCAGCGCCGATGGAGAAATCCATCTCGAGCATCTCCTCATCCCACAGACTCTGTTGGCGATCGGTTATTCCCGACTGCCACACCTTCAGCGTGGCGGCTACCTCGGACCCAACAAGCTTGAGTTTCGCAACCTTAGTTTCTATAAGTTGTAAGAGATGATTATTGATAGCTTTCCGCAAGCCGTCAAGCATGATGGATGGATCGAACCCTCTAGCCATTCCGCCATTCTTAATCCATTGCTGCAGTGTACTTGTCCGCAGTTCCAGAATGGCTTTAAACTCGGAGATGTGCTCGAGCGTTCTACTCAAGCCACCGAGAACAGTCTCTCCGCCTTTCTTCGCCCAACCAGTGAGCATTTCCTTGGCTTGTTTGCCATCCAGATCGTCGTGTCTTATGAAAGGCGTGAAGTACCGGATCTCGTCACCGCACCACCTCTCAAATATGTCTAGTCGGAGGCCTTCTAGAGATCGTAGTGATTCGTCGGCTAGAAGCGGTTTCTTCTTAAGCTCCAGTAATGCCTCGGGGAGCTTGCTGGGGACCAACGCCTGCACATCTAATAACGTCTTGGTGTACAGTTCGAGAGCTCTGAGGACATTCTCCGTGCCCCTGTCCTTCTCGTGCTCCTCATAGTCGAATTCGTACGTGATCGCCTCGGCCCTCATACTCAGAAACCGACGTAAGACGTCCCGCGTTCCAGAGCTTGACGCCAGACTGTACGCAGACAAGGCTTTGAGTATATCGGTTATATCTACTCCCTCTCCGGTCTTTTGCAGCACCTTCTCGACTGCGCGCACCAATTTTCTCCTTAACCCATCCAAGCTTTTCTTCGCGGCCTCGACCGCACTCCTAACTTCTTCGTCTAGTGTCTTCAAATCCCCAAAGCTAGACACGAGCAATCGACTGAGCACGAAGACCTTCGCAGCCAGCACCAGCCGATCACCCCTGCCTCCCTCAGTATCTTTACTCGTACCCGCCTTCAGCAGCCGGCTAACAGCAAGCCCGCAGGCCCTGAGCAGCTTGACACGCGCGGTCTGGCCAAGCATCGCCTCAGAATCCTCGCTACCGCGAAACCGCCCTAAACCAGTGATCTTGTTGTCAACGACGGTACGCCCGCATTGGCCGCCCATGTGACCCAGCACCTCCTGCGCCGACAGCATGTCCCCCCGCATCTGCACGATGGTGTCGGCGGTTCCGAGTAGCTGGCGGTAGCTGTTGCCGACCTGGGTGCGCAGACGCGCCGATTTCTCGTCGATCTGCGTGTGCAGCTCCTTGTGGACGGCGCGGATCTGCGGCAACGTGTACGTCGTGAAGATCTGTGCTGAACTCGTCAGCGTCGATGTGTCGGGTGTCGCCATGGTCGGCGTGAGGTATAATTGGGCTCGTCCCTAAGGCGTTTGCAGTGTGCTATCGTGGTTTGGGCATTGAGGTCGAGGTCTCCAGCTAGCTAGCTAGCTTCGTGCACTTTATGCTGAATGTGCGAATGGCTTCGTGGCAGTTATTACAATCAAATCATTTGGCGACAGTGGATCAGATCAGTTATGGGTGGCCAGGCGATTGGGGCTATCAGCTGGTTGCAGCTGTGACTCCAGTGTCCCTGTAGCTGGTAATTACCAGGTAGGTTAAACAGGTAACAACTTTCAACTGCTCTGAAAGAAAGCTACCATAGACTAGATACTCGCAAACAAGCAGTCGTTTATACAATTTTATCTACTAAAGGCAACGTATCGGTACTTTCTAGCACCCAGTCCTCTCACCATAGCCTGGTAGCTAAGCTCATAATAAATAACTAAGCATTAACGTTCGCGATGTCTCCCAACTAAAAATCAAGTTACCTATCAAGGCTCGAATTGTGGAGGCCCAACAGAATTATCCGTAATGGTTATCAAATGACTTTTACGCGCCATACTTTTCACTACACACAACTGCAATCAGGTCTATAAGATAGTATATTACAACTGAAACATATCATCGGTACGCGCCTGGAGCCCTTCAAAAAACCTGTGGGCCATTATCAGACCGGGCGAGTATTGATTACACACGGCCGAAAAAAAAAGATTCCTTCTTTGAAGAGATAGATTGATGATGAGAGTGGGACTCGAACCCACGCGGATTGCTCCACTGCGAAATTTGTTCAGTTGACCTGAACGCAGCGCCATAACCACTCGGCCATCTCACCATTGACTGGTGATGGTCTAGCAAATTATCGGCCATTACTGGACCGGGAATAGGTGGATTGGTAGAATGGTGGCCACTGGTCAGAGCGGAGAACTGGGTGCTTTAGACCATTGGGTCTTACGCAGGGGAATGAGAACTCATTGAAAGAGATAAGAAAGATCGTTCGGTTATCTCTCTGGCGTTATGTCCAAGATTCAAGTTAGAACCGGTGCTCGCCTATGATGATTGTGGAGTGGAGGGTGAACAATGCATAGATACTTGTATGTGCCGTGTCTGTTTCATGGGTACCCTTCTGGAATCTGTAGAACTTGGGAGGGCGGCTTGTTAACATAGGAGATAGTAGATAGAGTTGTCTTCTAGAGGCACCAATACGTGCCGAATCTAGTTTGACACAACAGTCCAGTCTATACGATTCATCTTTTCGAAGTTAAACTTGCCCTTTGAACGAGGATATGGGTTGCCTGCATCGAGAGTGTTGTAAAGTCCACAGTATCAATAGGTACGGCGGACTGTATTACCCGGGGCTAGGAAAATCTTTAGCTCAAGCTTCTATAACGTGGTCAAATCATTGCAAACTTTACCAGCACTGGAATCGCTCTCGCTTCACTGTCTGTTCAGAGGTACACTTTTCTATGGATGCGTCTTCCTACCAGTCCCTCGCAATCAAGCCATCACTGCGTATGTGCTAGTGGAGTAAATCGTACATGTGTATTCCTTAATTGTGCGGCTAATGATTGATCCGATCGACTATGTTAAACAGGGACGGATTTTCCGATGGCGTTATCACAACGTTACTCGACGACGAGAATGTCATGATGCGGATGATAATGTCTTGCTCTTTTCAAGAAGTTCTTCAATACCTATGTCGATGATCTCATGACGAAATCTTCACCTGACGCCGTCGGCTTATACTATGTTCCGGATGTAGCTCCAGTGCATCCCCCAGATTGACATGCAAATCATGAGAGACTAGCAGATGTGGCAATGGGTTGAGAATTTCATCGACAGAATCTGACACGCCGACATCAGTTCGCCATCACGAAAGGGTTGCTCCCAGGGTGCTGATTGGCAACATGAGCGGGAGTGATTCTCATGATAATGCAACCGTATTCATGCCTTGTCCCAATCTACCTTGCTTTGCGCACGGATGGGGTAGACCTTCTTGACCTTCGTCTATCCGCACCCGCACACATGCGACAGTCTACAATATTCAACCGGTCGTTTTCTCAACCGAAGAGATGTATTGCCCATGAGTTTGCCGTCGGGACAACAGATATCCAATCAAGTCACACAGAAGTCCAAACTTGTTTCATGAAGCAGGTTAGCTCTGCGAAGCTAGTTTTGCCAGCATGAACTATGTCGTGGGGTTTACGGCTTTCCATCGTCTGATCTTCACTATTAGGCTTTTTGATCTCTTTCATCCCATCATCGGACTACTCGTCGGATGCACCCGCACCCTCATCGCGGGCCAGATCGTAATGATTTTAGGTTGGACCATCTGATGTTCGGAGCATAACGTGACAGAACTGCTAGGCTGGAATGGACTTCGCCAGCCTAGGAGTGAAGGGTAGCACAGGAAACGGCTGTCCACATTCTCGACACTAGACACCGGCTGTCTTGCTATGATACGATATGATGAAGCCTTGCTCATGATGTCTCAACAGTCACTTACCGTAAACATGTCCTGAGCGATATGAGTCTTCTCAGTCCTCTAGCGCAGTCTGCGCCTATAGACCGAATGACATGGATGGCCAAGAGAAAGGTTCCGATCAACTGGCACATTGAAGAATTTGCGACTGTCTTTCTTGGCCAGCCATGTGGAGATCCAATGCGATCCATCTGATACACGAGGCTAATTTATCCAGTTGTCCTCCTAATGCCGTCCGTGAAGGTCAACTAGTCCAACAATCGGCGTAGATCATTCCCAAGCGGCCAACAACCTGTAACCTTGTTTTCGTCTACACAGTGTTATACTACTATATCTGAAGGCTTAGCCCTCTCATTATGGACTTATGGCGATAGTTAATCTTCGATCCCTTTGTCCTTTCCGTCCGCGCGTTTGGTCAGCTACAACACGCTCTGCTTCCGTGACACCATCCCTCAACATGTCTCTATTACCAACAAATGATAAACTTGTTGCTGTTGAGAATCTCACAGCAGCGGCTATGCCGTCTACAGATCCATTCCACTATTCCAGTACACAACAAAATCTCGCAATAGGCATCATCATAGCCTTCGCGGCCCTTGCTTTCATTATACTATGTGTTAGAGTAGCTGGCAGGTTATCATCACACCAATTTGGGCTAGGTAAGCAATTTAGGACACATCGCGTTTCGAATAAACAGCTAACATCTGAAATAGATGATGCTTTAGTATGCATAGCCATGGTAAGCTTCCAGCGACTTGCAGTCATCTGCAAAGGTGTATGAGCTGACAAGGTGTGATCCATAGGTCTTGTCAATACTGGAAACGGCAGCAAGTTATATGTGTTAGTCCTAAACCAATGCGGCGACGAAGTCTTGGAGTTGTCCACTGACGTACTTCAAAGATATCAAAACGAACTTCATAGGGATCAGATGGGAAGATATTCCGCCTCACGACCCCATACCCGGTCTTGTGTGGAATTACGCCATTGAGATCCTGTATAACCCGATTCTGGCGCTGGTAAAGACGTCGATACTGCTCTTCCTGCTGCGCCTGTTTGGGCAGAAGCCTGGCGTGAGGCGCTTCATCCTCTGGGTGAACACAGCCAACATCGGAATGTTGATTGCGGTCTTCTTCGCCACTGTGCTTCAGTGCATCCCCATCAATAAGACTTGGGAACTCAACCTGCAGGGAACATGCATTGACAGGAGGATCCTGTTCACGGTATCATCCTCTTTTAGCATTTTGACCGATGTGCTCATACTAGCACTACCGCTGAGGATATTCATCGACTTAAAGATCCCGAGGCGCACAAAGATTGCTCTGATGTTTGTCTTTCTGCTGGGGTTTCTGTAAGTTTTCACCATGTCGCAGGGAGAACTAAAGATAGAAGTCCACGAGGCTAATTTTGCTTGCAACCTAGTACAACCATCACAAGCATCGCCCGACTCGTCCTCCTCATCCAGGGCCTGTTCATGCTGAAGACAACACTGAGCGCCGACGCCAACATCGGCTTCGTGACATCCGCCATCGAGACAAACCTCGCGCTCATCACGGCCTCGGCACCGGCGCTGCGGCCGCTGCTGCGGGCGTGGTTCCCCAAGCTCTTCCGCGTCGATCGCGACGAGGTCGTCGGCAACACGGAGCGCAGGGTGCTCGGCACGGCGGCGACGAGGATGACGCGGCTCAAGTCGCAGACGCAGCTTCAGAGCCAGACCCCGAGGGAAAGCGAGGAGGCGATGATCGTGACGTTCAACGGCATCGTCAGGAATAGCGACATCATCATTCGGTACAACCCCGGGTTAGACAACCTCCGGCCTGTTACCTCCCAGAAGAACCAGGCAGACCTGGGAAGCCAGCCGTCGGAGAAGTGGATATAGCCATCTGGGCTCTTTTGCGACTTGGCTGTGATTGAGATGTGTGAGATGGAAGTGCTTTTGTCATTGCGCTCTGGCGTTAGGTGTATGAACGTTTATCGGATCGGCTTTTTTCAGTGTGCATCTGTGTGGCTCTCATTTGGTTCGGCGTGGAATGGCGCGGGGAATTTGCGCTTGAATCAAAACTTTTGTTCAAAAATGTATCTACGCATTTTATGTATTTATTGTTTTTCAACCACTTCGAGATTAATAGGTAGTGTGAATGCCTCGAGATCAGAAACCACTCTCGTATAAGTCACTCGGCACAACAGTGAATATGCTGGACTGCTACAAACATCTCGGAACGTCGAGAATGAGTCGTGTAACCGTTTCCGATCATCACATGCGAAGTAATGGTTCATCTCTGGGATCTAGAGCTGTGCGCCATCGTGTTCTTACCTACTAGTCAGGAGCTTCAGAACGTCAATGCTTGTAAGTTTATTCAGGTTCGCTATGATCACGATGGTGATTTAAGTAACAATGACCTGAGAGAAATGCAGCCTGTGTCTCAGATATCGACGATCCGACTGTTCGGTCCGCTCTGCGTTACATCAACCCCAGATTTCTGCCCCAGGTGATTGCACGAAAGACTGATCTCGATGAATGGTGGAGAACACTATGTACTATGAGTTCAGGTACACAGAATCTCCTCATTCCTTCCCCACATTCGGACTAACTACCTCTTTATAGTTGTTTGTTGAATCAGACAATCGTGTCGAGCTTTAGGTGGTAGGTTTTTGGCCTGGAAGGAAATGAATTTCGAGGATATTTGCTACAAATACACTGGTATTAACTGGTGGTTCGCTGTCTTAAAGTCTTGTAGCTCCGGACTTCCGAGCCTTCTAGATGAGCCGCCTTGAATACATCAGCCAGTGCGGCTCTACATATCCATTTGGTTGGGCTGTCTGCGCAACGAGCTTCGAGCCAAGATAATCGACGTACAAGACTAAGTGGTCTCTATTAGCATACGAAGGTGTGGTGGACGCTCGCACACATTCACGGCCAAACCTCAGAATATATGATTGAAAGGTCGTATATGACACGCATCCGTTAGTGTCCTAGGAAGTATTTCTACTCTCGACCCGTATAGCCAGTCCGAGATCATGTACGGCCAGACAGTCTATACCATGCAAGTTAGAGCTTTTACTGCTAGGCTGCCTCCTATGAGCACGACTCCTCATAACGAGGCTAACAAGATGCCCGGGGCGTCATTCCTAACTCTCATCCGCCCCCGAGCCGACGCCGAGGTCATTACGGTGATGTAGGATGCCTTTGTTCTTGCTGTCTTTGTTGAACTCTATGCCCCTTCCGCACGGTTGGCACGACTTGCGCGGTTCCGGTACTCTGGCAATGGTCGGTAATGTAAGCTGTGCCTCGTGCTAGAAGACGAAGAGAGCCCACCCAAGACAGATAGGTTGAAATATCGTAGGGTTTTCCCACA